TCTTTGGCCTCCTGGGAAGATAAAGCAAAAACTCTAGTTGGTGCTGATTTGACTGCTTCACTTGAGGTTTCTCCTTTAATCTTCAAAACAGGTTGATGCATCTGTGGTCTCGCAACTCTGTACTGATCTGTCCTTTGATTGCTTCTAATTTCTGTGACTCTTTGACCATTCCTTGGACAGTTCCTCTTAATATGACTTGGTTCTCCACACAAATAGCACTTTCCTGAATTCATCAGGCATCTCCCTGGATGAGATTTTCCACAGGTTGTGCAAACTGGTAGTATAGGTAATCTCATAGACTGTTGTGGTTGATTCTGATTGAACTTCTGTTTTTTGGATGATCCAACTCTATGATCAAATTGTCTCTTTCTATCTTTAGTTTCCCATTTCTGTTTCATCACTTCTATATCATTTTCTAGCAATCTAGCACTTTCCACTAATTCAGCAAAATCTTTTATACGAAGAGGAATTAATGGTTGTCTCAATGAGTCTCTCAATCCTTTTAAAAATCTGTAACACTTTTCCTCAGAAGTACTTATAAGCTGAGGAGCATACCTTGACAGAGCTGTGAATTCTGCTTCATACTGAATGACAGTTTTTGCTCCTTGCTTTAGATTTACAAAACTCTCTAGCATTGCTTGTCTTGCTGATGGAGGAACATACCAATCCCTGAAAACTTGCTCGAATTCCTCCCACATAATTTGCTCCTCAGATTTACCTCTAAATTTCTCCAGCTGTTGTCCCCTCCACCACCTTTCTGCTTCACCTTCTAGCATAAAGATTGCTAGAGATACACGTCTATTTTCAGGACATCTCATTCCATTTAAAACTTTCTCTATTCTGATAATCCAGTCTTCAGCACTTCTAGCATCAACTCCTCCCTTAAACAATGGAGGTTTCAAACTCTGGAAATGTTTTAGATGCTTATCCACTTCTGCACTAACAGGATCACCTGCCTCCACATTTGTACTGCTACCAGGAGTGGTAGGAGTAACTGGTGTAACTACAGGTGGAACACCAGGTGTAGCAGATCCCACCATAGATTACATCTTTTCCATCATTTGCATCATCATAGTCATCATTTGCAGTTGCATCATATTCCCTGACTATGCATTCATACCATCCATTTCTCTAGATGCAGGATATACGTTGTGTGCACTACCTCCCACTGGTGCAACATTTTCAGGATCTTCAGAAATCCTAATAGGCTGAGATGACTGACCCTCATCTCTTTCAGGTATTCTTTCAGTCATTGTATCTGTAATGCATGACAATAATAGTAATGTATTTATCATTTATAAAAACACATATACTCAAAACACATTTATATAAATGTTACTTTATATATTACCATACAAATGAAATTGCAATTAGACTTCTTACCTAACTTAGAGATACCAAGTTCTCCTAGGCTCTGTAATAATTCTATCAGTTTCACTTTTATTCTTTTAGACAATTCTCTTTACTTATGTTTTCGTACTTAAATCCTCAGAATCTTAAAATTTTGCTCTGATACCAC